CTAGTCATAAGGCTAGAACATAAGAAAAAACATGGTATCTAGCACCAATGTTTTGAAAATGACATAAATCTCTCCTGGACATCCTGCTCTTGGACCACACGATATTGCAATATATTCTTATGTGTAACAAATAGAAGTAACTAATGTTGAGGCAGTCTCTTGATTCTCATTTGAGTGTTTTGCTCTCTTAAAGAATGCTGCTACTTAAGCAACTACAAGCCAAGTCTGAGGAGGAAAGGCACTTGTGTTTCTATATGGTAGCTAGTTTGATGGTCCAAAATATGTCAAAAAGCAAAAGAATTATATGCTTGGTTCTGTTACCTATAACTAATCTATGCCTTTTGCTTGTAAAACATCCAATTAATTTTGCAGATGCCCCGAATTTACTATCAATTTGAGATGATGTCATGCGAATGAGATCCAACATTCGCATATTCGAGACGTTAAACTATTATAAAAAATAATACTAATAGAGGAAAAGAAGTGGGGGATATACTACAAGAGTAATGTTATGCTGTCCAAACTTAGATTTTAATTGAGTTGACACATTTACACACAACAAATTTTATGAAAAAATTAATTTATTGGGGTCCACAACGTGATGTGTGAATGTGTCAACTCATTTGATTTGGAATACAAATTAGGCAACATAGTATTTAAAGCACTAGTATCAAAGTAGGTGTTTATGATTGTGTGTGTGTGTGTGAGAGAGAGAGGGAGAGAGAGAGAGAGAGAGAGAGAGAGAGAGAGAGAGAGAGAATATGTCACAAAGTGAAGCTAGATTATAGATGATAAACTAGGTGGAAGATGTGAGCATAGGGANGAGAGAGAGAGAGAGAGAGAGAGAGAGAATATGTCCCAAAGTGAAGCTAGATTATAGATGATAAACTAGGTGGAAGATGTGAGCATAGGGAGGATGTGGAACTCACTCAACATAAAGGGTTCTCAAAGACCTTTTCCTAAATAATATTATCTCTTTAAAATTATTGAACCCCCCAAAAAAAAAAAAAGTTGTCTTCATTAGTATTCATTCTTCATCTACTATTTTTGACTGCAATGAATCTCCATTCATATGCAGGTCATTATAACCCAGAAAAAGAGTAATCATATATGTTTCATTGTGTCTGTGCACAAACACACACAAAAAAAAATAAAAAAAAATTGTACCCCTTCTCTCCACTACAAGCCAATGGCACTTTCTACCTCAAAATTATTTAAGGATAAATTACATTTTGAACCCTTAAATATGACTTTGATATTATTTGATCCTTCTACTATTGAGCTTCTTTGATTTTTCTCTCAATTATTTGAGTTTGTTTCACATTATCTCAAAATTAAACGTTAGTTAAAAAAATGTTCACGTGTCATTAGATTTTGAGACAAAGTAAAATATGATCAGATAATTATATGAGAGGCATATGCAATGAAACAATATGAAATCAATAACCGTAGGCGGAGTTGTAATGTTGAAAGCATGATGGTCGAAGGGATAAAGTATTTGTATAATTGCGTGGGTTAAAGTGTAATTTATCTTTTTCTTTGAAATTTGCATCATTACTTTGACCCATTGGGCCTTATCAATTCGAGAGGTATGATTACACCAAGCGGCGGATGTGGGGGTATTGTCTCCCTATGATAGAGAAGTATAATAATTTCATCTTTGGGTGATAAATGATTTGCTTAGGATGTTATGATGAAAATTCTTCCACTTCTTTGAAAAGAGCTCTCAATTGTCTACATTATATCGTATGAAAAGCTTACTCTATGATAGGGGAATGATAGATCCACTAGAACAAAGTAAGCAACCCACTCAAAACAAAAGTTTTGATGTTTCTATGCTATGGGTTTTATTATGGTACCGAAATATTATTTTTTAGTATTATATATTTACTTTTTATCCAATAAAATACATCACATGNATTTCTATGCTATGGGTTTTATTATAGTACCAAAATATTATTTTTTAGTATTATATATTTACTTTTTATCCAATAAAATACATCACATGTAAAAAATAAATTATTTTATATTTATTTTAATATTTTCAATCAACTGATGTAGATCATTTAAATTAAAACTTCAACTCGAGTTATTTATTCTCTATTCAAGATTTTAAACATAAGCAGAAATCGAGTCCAAGGATTTAATTTAATAATTTTATTGAGAATTGAAGGTCAATCCTATTTAGATAATTTTTAAAGCTTCAAGTTCATCTCTTACATATATTTGCCGTTAAGTTTCATTCATATCTTTTTAGTAAGTAGTTTTTTTTTTTTTATTAACAAAAAAATCTTTATTGAAGTGCTTCGTGTTGGAAGCACTTTCCAAACTGATTTGAAAATCTGTTACCCTAATTTTCACGGCATTTTGAATGGAGGTCTTCCTCTTATATACATTCCAGTAACAAATTTTTAAAAAATTTGAATTTCAAATTCAGGTTTAGATATTATTCATATTATCCTTCTCCGTATTTCTCTTTGTTCATAATTCAAAGACGTGATCACAAAGTGAATGATCTGTTGAGTTTGATTGCCGGACATCTATGATATTTAGAGTTTGATTTCATTCTTGTTGATTTGTCAACGTATCCACTTAATGTCATTTTCTCCGACTGATCTTTTGTGTTTTTCGTGTTTCAATCTTCAATTTTATGTTCGGATATTCAAAATGTTATTTTTTGGAATTGTTTTTCTAGATGTATATTGATTTTGTTGTTCTGGTTCTTCAGAAAATATTTNTGCCGGACATCTATGATATTTAGAGTTTGATTTCATTCTTGTTGATTTGTCAACGTATCCACTTAATGTCATTTTCTCCGACCGATCTTTTGTGTTTTTCGTGTTTCAATCTTCAATTTTTATGTTCGGATATTCAAAATGTTATTTTTGGAATTGTTTTTCTAGATGTATATTGATTTTGTTGTTCTGGTTCTTCAGAAAATATTTTTTTTGTTGTGGATTGGATGCGCGTGTTTTCTACATAAGATCGTAAAAAACAGTAACATGAATTTGTGGAAGTAATTAGATTTTGTTTTGTTTCATTTTAATTGTTGCTCCTCTTTATTCATTTTGTTGACAAAAAGTAATGGAGGACACCTTGTGGATTTAATGTGATTAAGTATTGCTATGCGAATAGTGTGATTAAAACTTCCATGCATTCAAATTTTGACCGTTGTCATTAAATATTGCTATTTTTTGTTTTAAAATGTACCTATTTTTAGAATTTGCTATGAGACTGCAGTGTTCAATGCTTACTGTCTATGATTTNAGTGGAAGTTATTAGATTTTGTTTTGTTTCATTTTAATTGTTGCTCCTCTTTATTCATTTTGTTGACAAAAAGTAATGGAGGACACCTTGTGTATTTAATGTGATTAAGTATTGCTGTGCGAATAGTGTGATTAAAACTTTTCCATGCAGTCAAATTTTGACCGTTGTCATTAAATATTGCTATTTTTTGTTTTAAAATGTTCCTATTTTTAGAATTTGCTATGAGACTGCAGTGTTCAATGCTTACTGTCTATGATTTGAAAGAATATCGTTTTTTTTTATCTCCATGGTGTTCATGCTACTGTTTCATGTCACCGTTCAATTTTATTGTTTTTTGTCACTACGGTTTAATGTTACTGCCTTGTGTTGCTATCACTAAAGTTACAAGTTCTGCAAGTTCTTCTCCTAGAAACTCCACAGCACCCATTTGGACTGCCAAGATGACTATAGATTTCAAATCTGATGCAACCTTTCATCCATCTAATTAGAGGCAACAAACAATGCAAGATGAAAAATGACGATAAGCCAGCTTTAAGGTGCATTTTTATGTAGGTTTTCCGTTTTTGGAAGGGCATGATCATGAATGTACACTAGAATTGTCTGAAACACAGAAAGATGCAACAACAAAAACACTTGCAACTTTACATTGTTTTTAACTCAAGAATACATATATACATCGACGTTACAATATTAGACCACATACAAATCGAGACCAAAAAAAAAAAAGAGAGAGAGACTTGGCTCAAGCTGTTAAAAGAATGAGTGAATGTCAATGAACCTTAAANCGACGTTACAATATTAGACCACTTACAAATCGAGACCAAAAAAAAAAAAAGAGAGAGACTTGGCTCAAGCTGTTAAAAGAATGAGTGAATGTCAATGAACCTTAAAATCAGAGGAAATTGGGCAACCTAATATCTTGACAATGGCACTAATTACAATGCTCTAATCTACATTTCTATGTACCTATTGTTGTCTTATCAACATATTAAAGGGTGGCTGGACTGAAGATATTCCCACCCCATCTGTAAAACAATATTATTGGGGGAGGAATAAGAAAAAGAAGAAACTCAAATTAGTAGAGAACTTACAAAGAATAAGGTGTAGTTCTTGAAGATGATGCCTCTAGCGGGCGAGAAGGATTTGAAGTATCTACAGTTCCTTCAAGGTCGAGTATAGATTTTAGTCTTCTCTCTACCTCGCTGCTCTGTAAATTAATCTCTTCAAGAATCATAGACAAAGCAGATTTGCAGGACTCCCCATCCCGAAATGCCAAGGTCCATCTCCCATCAACCAAAACTTTTGTCTTAACTTTTTCATGGGCAGCAAACTTTGCAGTATCTGTGAAGGGAAAAGATGATGGACGGATTCGAAGGTGTAGCCATCTTGAATGCTTATCATCTATTCTGGGCTGCAGGGGGGAATTTAAAGCAGGTTATATGTATTTAGTAATCATTTTAACAATGCTCATAATAAAGGTTTAGAATTCATCATATGCGCATGCAGCCACCATAGAAAAAAATCTACAAATGAGACTGGGCTGTGTGTGTTAGAAAGTAAACTTGCAGAAAGTAGTTAGAAAGTAAAGCGAGGCTTAAAACATTTTGCATTTATGAGGAGAAAATAGAGATCAAAAAGACTTGGATTAACAGATGGGATAGATGTCAAACAAAGACACAACTACAATCCTCGATTTCAAATCACCATTCCCTGTAGCTTTTCTGAAACTTCTCTTATCAAAAAACAACTACAATCCTCAATTTCAAATCATCTTGATAGCTTTTCTGAAACTCCACTTATCTTGAGCAATAATCATTTCATATGAAGCCTGACATATTAAAATTCAAAGCACAACACAGCCATACATACGTTACATCCAGCCAAAGGTGCAGCCACACGAACAACTCCATAATCTGGTTTCAGAGATAATTCTTCTGCAAGGACAACCCACCCACAGGCTCCCATGGAAATTGCTAGAAAGCAGAAATGGCGTTCTTTACCCCTCTCAAATGCAACTCTACAAGGCACTGCATCAACTGAATATAGCACCCAGCAGAGCAAAATAAAATTAAATGACCTGATTTGATGGTCAATAAGTCTCTTAACAATGTTCAGCCATATCCACATACTAACAAAAATATATATCGTTATTGTGTGAAGGTATGCAGATTGCAGACAAAAATGCAAATGGTTAACTGTGTTGAACGTATGCATGTACATACTACCCATATAATACTATCTACCTGTTACCACAATAAATGAAAAAAGAAACCAAAAGCAAAAAGTTATTATGTTACAAGCTACAGTAAGTGCAAGAAAACTAACCAAGCCTTAACTCAGTGCTCAGTTTTGGACCTGAAACGTCCACGCCAGCTGTTTTTGCTCGCCAGTTTTCTAGGACATCAAGCGATGGGAAGATGGGAGGTAGATCAGGTACAGCTCTTCCAAGGGAGAATATTTGTAGCTGATGAAGAAGTACAAACACCTAAATGAGGAGAGGACAAATTTTAGCTAAAGATGCAGCAGGAACTGAAAAAACAAACAGCAGTGATAAATGCACATCCATAATGTGTATGACAGCAAGTTATGTTAGATCGAATTTTTAAGGTGCTAAAATTATTTCATGAATGCTAAGGCTTGCAAAATTCAGTGTCAGCAACATACATCAGCCATTTCTTTGTGCTTTCCAAGAAAGGAACTGAAAAAATGAAAGAGTTTGAGCACAACCTTCACCAACTCACACATTCTTTCACCAGCATTGAAAGAGGATTCACTGGAATTGAGTTCTGAGGTAAAGAGAAAAATTGATTAAAGCTTGCTTAACCACACAAAATAAACACAAACAAACATATTTAGTTAGAAGCAAAAGTCTGTTTTAACACCAGTTGATTTATTTAAAAGTTGTCATACCTTCGGAAGAGGACTTTTGTGATGGTAAGAGTGTGCTTTTGGGCTCCGTCCGAGGAGATGAGGCCTCAATTGCTACAGGTAAAAGTTTTATAGTTTAAATACAAAAAATACATAAAAGAAACATCTATCATTCAGGACGATGATGATCAGTACCTCTTTTGCACTTTTTCCACTCATCACAAAGGACTGTAATAAGTATATCAGGCCAGGTTCCTCTTGCCTCCTCAAACAATTTACTAGAGCATTCCTTATATGAATCCTGTAATGAAGAAAATAATACTTTATGATGGACCAAACAATGGAGTTCAAGGGAAAAAACATTGTAAATCTGAAACCACCCATGACTGTAAGAAAAAATAAAACTACAAGAACAATTTGGACCAAAAAAGTCATCAGCACTAAAAATGTTAAAGAGTCTTTTTTTTCCCAATTGCACGACAATCTAGGAAGCACGGATACTCACCGGGGGTTGCCATGGCAGTGTCAAACACGTGTCCAACAAGGACACGCGTGGGACGCAGCCGAACACGTGTCCGACACTTGTAGAAGTGTCCTGTACAGTAGATTTGAATTTTTCCAATCGGATACGGGGGGTTACATGAGGACACGGAGGGCTACAGCAAGGATACGGTGGGGTTACTTTTGTTATTTTAAAAACTAAGGGGGCCGAAACCAAAAAAAAAAAAAGGCAAAGCTACATCGCCGTTTTGGGTTGAAAAAGAAAAAAAATAAAAGGCAGAGTCGAAAGGCTCAACCTTCAACTTTTCAGTGTGTGTGAGAGAGAGAGAGGGGTTAAGGAGAGGACCAGAGGAGGAGAAGAAAGAGAGGGAAGAGGAAGACTAACCTGCGATCTCCAAGTTCCTCTTGTTGTTTCAATTTTTTTTTCACATCTGCTGCTCGTTTTTTGTTACGATTTTCAAATCTTTTTTTATTACTTTTTCTAGTTTGTGGTAGACTTTCAAAAAATTTGATTAGGTTAATTTGATTGTGTTAGGGTTTTCAAAATTTGGGAGTTTTTTGTTGTTATTGTGGTGAAGTTGTTTTTCTCTGTCTTCTTGCTGTGTTGTAGCCTTTGGGATTTTTTTTTTTTTTGGTCTGTTGTGTTGCTACCTTCTGTACTGCTGCCATTGGTTTTGAATACCAAAAATTACTTACCTACTCTAGCTTCTGTCTTCTCTTTTTAATATCTTTTTGAATCTTTGATCTATTTCAATTTAAGTAATGTTTGCTATGTCTTGGGTTGTTTGTTATTATTAATGTCGTTGTTATATATATATAATTATTTTAATTAACCGTATCCTCGCTTTACCCGTGTCCTATATTTTGAAATTTTACTGTATCACCATATCCGTATTGTATTGGATCCGTGTTTCCTAGACGGCAATTAAGTATAGCATCTAGCAATAGTGGATGAGAACAAGGATCAAACTTCGACAATGACCTCAACGGCTCAACCCAAGTGTAGGGTCCGAAAACCTTCAGATTCCACCTTTAGAAACAAGGGCATCGTCATGGCATTATGGTAAAACTCATCAAATTCATGGGTCACAAGGAGGCTGTTCTCATGTCACCAAGCAGCAAGCACCGAATCTAACTGAGATTAGACTAGAGATCCTATGTAGGAAAACTACATATGATATCGACAAAATATACATGCATACATAGAGCTGTGACATGTTGACTACCTTCAGCTTGTTTGATAATGTAACTTACATCAAGTAATTTAAGATGATGCCTGTTGAGCTCTGCCTCGCTATGAGGAAGCAACTGGTGCAAAAGCCAACCCCCATCCCACAACGTTTCTGCAGAGATATTTGACCTACAGAAAAGACTGACCAATGCATCGAGCACCTAAAAAAAATGACACTTATTATGAGAATAATATTTGTAGGCATAAAACTGAAAAACACATACGGTTTTCTTCAATTTGTGAAAAACGGATGCACAGAAAGTGAACTTTCATGCTTGTAAGCATATGATGATGACGATAAAACACACTGCACACATTGACCGAGGTGCAAAACACACCCTCTCCATTTTGAAGGATACAGGACTGGTTTGGCACTTTGGCTACTTCTGGTTTCTTTTATTTTTTCCAAATAAAACACAAATTTGAATTTTAAACTTAGTGCTTTGAAAAGAGAACTCATAACTCAATAAATGGGTTGCCAACAACTGGAATTAATTGTCTAACATTTCCTTTGCTCTTTTGCACTTCATGCTCAAACTTTGTCAAGGTTTCAGAAGTTATCTTTCTCATTTCTTTTTTTTTTTTTTGGGGGTTGGGGGTTGGTTTGTTATTTTAGTAAGTCTCAGAGGTTCTCTCATCCTCTTGGAATTCTACTTTTCCTTCTTGTTTGTTTTGCATAAAAAAGGCAAAAGATTCACTTTTTTGATCCATTTCAAAAAAGTCTAGCTGTTCATGATTCTTTTTCCCTTTGTGTAATCATGTTTACCGGGAAAAAAAAAAGGCATTTCTATTACATAAGGTTTTTTTAAATTTTTCTCTCATTTCCATGTCAGCTATAGGAAGCGATGGCACCTGAAGAGGATCATGACGAGAGAAAAGTCGGAAACACTAGGAGCCTGGAAGATGTCCACACTGACACATTGACAAAATCAAAAACAAAAAAATAAAAAATCTGCATTCCGGAAGGAGAAGAGTACCTGAAATCTATGTACCTGAGAGTTGGTTCCAACATCTGGGCATGAAAGGGAGACTCCATATTGATCCTGTTAAAAAAAATATATCAAACAAAAAATGAATCAGATATCACGAGACAGACTTTTCCAGAGTATACCATGTTTAGCTGAAATTTCAGTTTGCACAATAATAATAGGAAATTGATATTATTGAAGTTCCAAACACAATGATGCTACAAAATGATTATTCCTTCCTTAAGCTTCCCCTACAAATATATGAATTGCATTAACCCCGCAATTTCCCATACTTGACGGTAAATAAATCAAAAGATTTAAGTTTAACAATAAATTTAACAAAAGGAACATAGTTTGTACTTAAATCACTCAAAAGCCAAAACAAAATACACATAACAAGTCCCGAAATACAGATAAAATGATATGCCATTAAAATAGGTCGCTGCAGAAACAGCACTTAACAGGGAACAGTCCCGCCATCTAAATTTGCATATTTAGATAAGGAAATACCTGCCATTTAGATTTGCTGGGTAATTTAAAAGTACCTTAAAAGTGTTGTCAATGTATATTTGTAGAAGCAGAAGATAAATTGCAATATAGGCTAGTCATGATTAAAGAGTTCATTGACAATTTTTTGGGGTACATACGACCCCTCACTGCCAAACGATTCTTCTCAACTTAGGAAAAAAAATATAATGAAAATCAAAATGCAGACAACCTTTTCTGAATAGCCCAAAATACCCTTTATTATCTCATCCAACTTTAATTGCAATAACATCTATATAATAAAGTAGCTAGCTTGGTTTGTCTTGAACTTTTCACGGTTCAGATTAATTTAGCATTATTGATCCGACAACTATAATTAAACTACATTCCTACAAGACTCTACTACATTCCTTTTATCTCTCCTTATCCTCATTTAAATCATTGGAGAGATATCTACATTCCTACAAGATTCTGCTACATTCTTTTTATCTCTCCTCATCCCCATTTTAGAGATTGATTTGGACGGTTATATATATATAATAATAATAATAACAAAATATATTCTAATATCTACTAAAACTCTAATAAAAAAGATTATATCTAATAAAATTTATGTTCATTAACATATGTTGTCCTATATATATATCTATCTATATATATCTATACCAATATCTATATCTATATATATAATTCAATCTATATAATAAGTAGTTCAAACACGTAGTTTAAAATCCATAAAATAAAATGGCTAGATTTATTTGTCTCGAGATTTTCGCAGCGCAGATCGTTTAAAGATTATTGATTCGACGATTCTAATTAGACTTTCATTTCTTTTAAAACTCTAAGACTCTCTTCTCTAATATAACTCTCTTTCTCTTTCTATCTCATACAACCAACTCTCATACATATATAACTTTCTCTCTCTCCTTTACAGACATTTTAAACACACACTCTCCCGTCTCTTATACTCTCTCTCTATATATTTCTGAGATAAAATGAAAGTCAAATTAGGATCGTTAAGACAAAAAATGTTATCTCATACTTTCTCTTTTAGTATTATTTGTTTATCTTGACGATCCTNGTCTCTTATACTCTCTCTCTATATATTTTTGAGATAGAATGAAAGTCAAATTAGGATCGTTAAGATAAAAAATGTTATCTCATACTTTCTCTTTTAGTATTATTTGTTTATCTTGACGATCCTAATTAGACTTATTTACTCGAAACATCTGTATGATTTTATAGATGAAAAAATATTTAAATATTAAAAAAAATTCTCAGGTTGTAGATATTTAAAAGCCAAGTTAATCACCAATAAAAAATAGCAAGTATTACCAATTGTACCAAAAAATAAAAAAAATTCAAAATCAAACTAATCACTAATAAAAAATAACAAGTGATATCAATTGCACCAAAAAAATTAAAAAATTATGCACAAAAAAAAATAATATTCTAAACCAACTATCAAATTTTTTTTCCTTATTTTCATTACTTTTCCCTTGCTTATGTTCATATTTTTTAAATACTTGAATAGTTTAAAATAAATACCGAAACGATAATAATGTCAGTTAAATCAATTTTTTTTAAATAATAAAATTTTGATTTTGTGATTTTGATTTAATTGTAGAGTGAGAATATTTTTATAGCATCCGAGAAGTCATGGTAACAGATAATTTAAATCAATCATCCTTTCAGGGACAAGCGGATTCGCTAGACAATATTGTTCAATTAGGTATTTTTTCTACTTTTTGAAAATTTAATTTGTAATTTAATGTGAACTAGATTACCTATTTATTAGATTTAGCAAGAGGTTGAAAAAATGAACACTCGTTGGAAAGAAGAGCCGCCATGAAGAAATATATAACTGGATAATTTTGTAATGGTGTTAAGTTAAGTTCATAGGAATTTTCGAATTGTGTTAATGTAATATAATTTTTTCATTTCAATCATTAGACTTCTTTTATTTAAGACATTCTTGAATGCCCCATTTGCTTGGCAAATTTTTTGTGTTAAGAGTGCCTTCAGACACGGGTAATGACTAGTGACTAGTCTTTTAATATGACAAAAAAAAAATTGAATTAAAGGAGAATTTTATTATAGAATGGAAGAAAGGGAAAACAAAATACAATATGGTGGACAAGATACCCTCAAAAAGAATAAAACACAAAATAAATATCCGAGGACAGCCACAATGAAAGCTAAAATAATGCTGCTTCCAATCCTATTGGAGATCGGACAAAGGCAACAAATTTTATTTTTTAATTCTCCATGTACAGACCACACAACCAAAGATCAAAATTTAATTGCGGTCCAGTGTTTCGGTGATCTAGAGAACGGAAATGTTTCGACGTAGTTCGAAAACGTTTTGACCAGTTTTGGAAACAAAATGAAAAAAATAAAAATAAAAAATTCCAAAACATTTATCAAAATATACCAAAGTAACTTGAAAAAATTTAAAACATTCCGAAATAATTATGTAAATACATTGAAATATTACAAAACATATCAAAATATTATGAAACACCTCAAAGTATTAGAATTTTGATTTCGTCACTAATATGTTTCGATCTTCTTGAAAACGAAAACATTTTAAACGTTTCGAAACAAAATTTTGATCCATTGCGCCCTGTTAAAGTATAAATAGTTAAGTTACACCATCTCTAACATTTTAAACTAGTTTAAACTTTTGAAATAGATGATTGGTTAACATGCTATCAAAAAAGGAGGTCCAGTATTTGAATCTTGCTACCACCCTAATTATTAAAAAGATTTTCACATACTATGCCCAAAATTTAGCATGTATGTGAGGGAACGTGCTATATAAATATTTAAATTATACCATCTCCAACAACTTAAACTTTTAGAGTCGATGATTGTTTAAAACGCACCACCTATCAACTCAGCGCACCACCCCTCATCTTCCATCACTATTGTCCGCCACCACTGCCATACAATTAGCAAATTTGTGGAAGTATCCATCGCACTAATTCAACCATTTATTTCCTCTATCTATTCATCAAACAAACTAAATTGAGTGCAAATCAATCTAACCCTTAGTCTTCCATCACTGCCAAAGATTAAAGTTTTTTCTTGCCATATGAGTGAGATTATTGCACAAATTAGAGATAGAGAATATGAGTAACAATGGAGATTAGAAACCCAAAGATTAGTGTTTTTCCTCACAAAGATAGAGTGAAGAAATAGGGAATGGTGATTGTGTTTGATTTCAGATCTTGAAACGTGGGGGTAAGACAGAGTATGAGAGTGAAACTAAAGAATTAGATACGCATGGATTAGGGTTTTTCTGGCAAAGAAAGAGCTGAAACTTTTTGGTTTTGGTTTGATTTTTAGACTTTTAATCTTTTGATTAGAAGAGCTCATCGTGATTTAGAGTATTCCCGCCATGGTTTAAAGTTTAGAATAGAGGNTAAAGAAAGAGCTGAAACTCTTTGGTTTTGGTTTGATTTTTAGACTTTTAATCTTTGATTGGAAGAGCTCATCGTGATTTAGAGTATTCCCGCCATGGTTTAAAGTTTAGAATAGAGGGTTCTGGAACCGGGAGACTATAAAAAATGTAAAAAGAAAAAGTAAATTGAGCCTCAATCAAGCCAGCCGAACACCTCAAGTTCGGCTCATATAAAAAAAAATCCTAAATATATGATCAATTGGAATGCATATCATAATATAAATAAAAAAGTAAATTAAACCTCACTACCTCAGTCAAGCCAACCGAACACCTCAATTTCGGCTCATACCAAAAAAAAAAGCCTAAATATATGATCAATTGGAATGCATATCACAATATATACGAGTTTGATGAGCCCAAAACAAGTCAAATCTGCATCAAGGCCGGAGTAACTCAGCTTTTTTAACAGCTCTATCAGTGGTACCCAGAGTATAGGGCCTTTTTTGTAACTACCTTATTTTTTTTTTTAACTTGTTTATTGTCACAACTGAGATAAAGAAATAGGTAAGCAAGCGAAAAACTAGGAAGAAAAAACAAACAATAGAATGACGAAAACAGTAAACCATTTCAAGGCATACAAAATTTGAGGAAATTAACCCCAACTTGCAACCTAAGAAAAGTTTGGGAGGTTTAAACCAACAGATATTGCCATGGCAAGTAAGAAGAAAGAACACCCATTCATCAATCCAAAAAAATATCATGGTTTCAAAAAAGTGCTACACATTGTCAAATAGTTTGTTTTGAGAGAGAGGGCATGGGGTGGGGACACATAAAATCTTCTCCAGGTGTAAAGACTAAATACCAAACATAGAAAAAAGAGTCAAAATATGTACAGACAAATACCTCTGTTCCACATAATAATTCTAGAACAGAACAAACCCTTTATTAATTTAAAAATTACAATTATGTCTAAAAAATATTAAAATCAGAACTTTTTCACTCCTTTCAGAAAGTAACAGAAAATTAATCAATACTCAGAAATTAACATCAAAATACAAGTCACCGACCATAGACCCTTGACAAAGTCTAATATCATAAGCTTCAAATACAACATGGAAATATTAATGGATCTGCTTGTTCCCAATCCCTCCAAGGATGGGCGCATTTATATTTTTGTTGATAACTTCAAATAATACAAACCACAGACCATAAATCCTTGAGAAAGCCCAAAATCATAAGCTTCAACTACAACATAGAATATATTAAAGGATTCGCTTGCTCCAAATCCCTCCTAGGATGGTCGCATTTATATTTTTGTTGTTGACACCAAATACATGGATTTCCAACATTACCAGCCAGTTCATAAAAACCATTAAATGAGTAGAAACAGAAGCGAACATAACTTCCATACTTCATAGATTTTCTTATAGCTCCATTTGATTCAACAAGTGGCAAAAAAATGAAAAAATATTCAATCCCACAAAGGCATTGGAATACGTACTTATAATGTAGGGATTTTGCATTCAAGAAGAGAAGACTATAGCAGTAAACAAGGACCCAGCAAAATCGTAAATTCATGATTTGGAAAAAATTCGTAGGATAAATCCTGTTCATCCGTGCTTTCTTTATGGAATTAGCTTAAATTAAATCCATATTAAAGGAAGTGAAAATATATACAAGACCAATGTGGTCGTAGATATCTGTGTCAAACTTTCGACAGAAATAGTGAAAAATCCGGTAGACGAACTTTCTACTTGTATGATTATTTTGATGCTCTACCAAGGAAAAAAACCCATGTTTTTACAATCGAGATCAGCAAAAATATTCAGGCAGTGCATATGGTATAATTGCTGTACAACTATTTATAGCAAAAAATCAAGATGTTTATTTTCCGCAAGATATTTCCAGGAAAAAAATCCATACAGAACGGATCAGGGGTACTTAGCATAGCCATGTGTTTTCCTTGTCAAGAAAAATCATATATGTTTTAGCCAGCAGTAGCTATGAGTAATTGGACAGTGTGGAGTGACAAAGAAGTAAGAATACCTTTAACATTTGTAGGTAGCTGGCTAGTTCACTATTTATGCCATCTTTTAATGGGCTACTTGCTGAGGAAAAAAGCCGCTCTTCACCTGAGCCTTCACCAACCAAAGCTTGCTGCAGCCACACAATGAAAGGCACTATACTTCAACCAGTCAACAGATCCTTGAGATACATCAAATATAAAGCAGGCAATGCCACACATGAACTTATTCAGGGACAAATCAATCTAAAATTGAAGTCATGGGCAGCAGTTAGAATATCACATAGGAACTAGTACACAATTGCAGCATTTTGCGTAATTTGGTCAAGGGTGTGGGGTGTTCAGGTCAACTTAGGCACACCTCGACTAATCTCCATCCTGATCTGGCTAGGACTAGGGAATTTATGAGAGATAAATCTCTCATGACCTAAACTCAAGAAAATTGTCAAAGTTTCCAACTCATGATGTATGAGTTTACAGTTCATCCCTGTCTCCATTGGGCTACCTTGCGGTTAGCATACAGCTTTAGCACCACATTATATATTCGAGAAACGGGAAACAACAATAAGAGCAGAATATTAAAGCAGGAACACCAATTAAGACTATCGATAAGGGATTCATGTATAATGGATCCATTCTAGAGAAAACCAATTATTTGACCATACAAACTTTCCACACCAGAAATCAAAGAAAATGTAACAAGGTAAAACAGGCAGTGTTTTGAAAATCTCGCTACTAAAAGAACATGGAAAAGGACATCATCATTCAATTCCAACAACTGTTCCAATCTTGAAATTCCTGTCCACAAGTGACTTTGCAACTAAAGAAAATGATATACAGTTTTCTGCACCTAATACATCTAATGTATAGATGAATTTCATTTACCTTCCCACTTAATGGGGATCGTAAAACAGGACGCAATGCTCAGTCGGAGCTGTGAGTTAATTAACATTCCAATAATGAGAGCTCATGGCATCATAATCGAAGGTAATTGTTCCAGCATTTACCAAATGAGATACAAGACTTTATGTCAGATTCTAAGATTTTTAACCCTCAGTAAATATGCAGTTGAAGTCTCATCAGTCAGAGATTTTGCCTTGGTATGGTAGCCAAGGGAAGCAAATTTGATTGGTGCATGCCCATCATCGTATATTTCAGCAGGTTAGCCAGTCTGTCTTTCAGATATGGATATCAATGTTAATGCAGCCATTTTATGAAAATCAAAAGATTTAAAAACTTAACAGAATTAAAAGCTAGTAGTCATTGATGATAAGAGTACATGCAGGACTAGCAATATCGTGTTTATTTATATATTTATTTGGTATGATGAAGAAGAACACAGCAAAATAAGAAAAAGGAAAGGGGGGATTACACTAAGTTCTAGGAGAGTATCCCAGCCCACTCCAAAAAAAGCCCAAATATCCCTCAGAAAAAACAAAAAGAAAAAATTAGAAGTAGGCAAAGACAACTGCAGCCAGCATCCTGCCCCAGCCATCAAGCCTTAAACAAACTGTCAGCCAGAGAACAGCGCCGAACAGTGATAATCTTCAAAACAGTAAATCAACCCTCAAGAAAACCAAGGATCATATACCATTCAAAACGGGGAAAAAAGCCAGTCATGACTACCACATACCAACAAGAGTTTCTTATGCTGTTTGCGTTGGGGGAGGATTCCAAGAGCATCTAACATTGATTCATCCAGTTCTGCAGACACAGTAATTTAACAAAAGTATGTGACAAAGCACTAATGAAGAAGCAGATTACGTTCAATTGCACAACCTTTCGTTTGCAACAATGTGGCCAGCACATTCAAAGAACCCAAAACTAGAGCATCATCTCCACTGGTGACATATGAAAGCAAGGCCTCCCTACAAAAAAGAATATCAAGCTCACAAATGCTTAATCAATTTAAATACGGCTATTATCTATGTTACACTTAAAGAAGAAAATCAATTACATCTTCTACTTGGCAAAAATTGACAGAACGAAGGCACTTGATTCTGTAAATGATGCACAAGGGTCAAAGGCACATTGGAACATCACCCATGGCTTTCCAGGCATAAAACTGATTAGTGGGTCTTCCACATGGCACCCAAGAGTCAAATAAGGAGAAGGTGAGGGAGAGAGATATGGGATGGAGAAGAGACCGAGAGAGAAATTAGGTATGCAGTTGATCGGGAGTTATTAGCTATGTCACACAATTCGCCTATTACTACTTCCACTCCAAAGCTCGGAAAGTGAATTCGCGCTTTAAGAGCGAATTCGCCCTAAATTCGCAAACTCATCCAACTGAATTTGCCAAACTTAAAAAACTTAAGCAAAACAATCATTTTAATAAACATTTGAACTCCAAACCAAAGCCCAAGGCTTCAAATGCAGCTCACCAACTGTACTTTACCTCAAAAGTGAGGCTTTTCGAGCCATGCTTGCACGTGGGCAATTGCAGGGGTAAGTCAATCCACAGAGGACCAGCTACACTATTTATAGACAAGGAGTGGCTGTGAGGTTTCCACACTTTGTTGATGTTGGATTGCCTTCCTACCGTGAACAAGATACTAAAATGCTTTAAAACCTTTTTCTTTTTTTAGTTTTTTAAAGAAAGTTCAAGGTTTTTTCTTGAATCATACATAATATTGTTTTTATGAAGGATTCAAATCAATAGTTAACAAAATTTAGATAATTAATAATATATTTTATAAAAAACTGAATGTTTTAAAATATTTTCAATAGTTTTTATATATGCAAATATGTATATATAAATATAGTATGAAGCTCTCAAGGCACTCCTGCTCTAAGAATTTTTTGAATATTGCCGCTTTTGCGCTCCCACTCTCCTTCTATGTAATCTAGGTTATTAGTGGTTAAACAGTTGTCAACTTATCGGTGGTTGTGGTTAAGGGGGAAGAAAATAGGAATGCTATAGGCATTTTACAGGTGTACACCAAACCCCTCTCTTTTTATTATAGTAATAAATTTATCTCTTTTTTCAGCAAGGCTTGTTTTCCTCCAATAACCTAGTTTACAACTTCGAAAGTAATCACAACAAAGGGGCAGCCTGATGATATCACACTCCGACTATGAGAGTCCTCCATCAATGCTAGTTTAATTCCTTTTTTTTTCATTTTTGTTTACATATCAATGATATACAGTGTAGCTTATTAGTTGAATCATGGCTACTTCAATGAATTTTTGTTGACAGCCATGCACCCAAAATAATTGATTATTGACAGGCTTGTCCTGTTAGTACCCTCAACAAAAAGCACACATACCCACACTAAAGGCTAAAATCAACAAATTGTATCAAGACGATGTTATTGTCTGAGACCTCAAGCTCTGGTGATGGTCCAAGATCTTCAGACTTGCAGAGGAACCACTCTTAAAATAACAAGCAAATTGTGACCAGGTGCACTCCAATAGGAGCAAAATTAGAATACAATCTGTGGCTCAAGGTTCCACAATCCTCCAATTCTCACTAAACTGCATTTTGCACAACCTAAATGGGTCCCAAAAATTCTTTTGGAAGGAAACTTGATCTTGTATGCATGGTAAACATGAGCCAAAAATACACAACCACAACAAATCATACACAATATTAATATCTCCTCTGCTCTCCTGTGTTTTTTCCCTTTTAATATTGTTGGAAATCAAGAGCCAAACCTTTCATCTATCTCTGTATGTAGGATTATGGTTTTATCTCTTTTTTGGCTCCTTTCCCCAACATATTTACTACTTGTCAAAGGGATTCTTTTTTGTATTTTTATTAAAAATATATATCTGAATGAAAGGGATGTGGGCTAATGATCCCACATGGAATGATGTGCTTGCATTGATAATCAGAAGGGTGCTAAGCTGAAATGCATAAAATGTTCTATCATCTAATGATGCGTATTTGAGCGGTGCTTTTTTTGATGAAAAGTTGATAGCTTTTTGATTGACTACAAGTTTGGATACACATTGAAAAAAAAAAAAAGTTTCTTTTCTGTTAGCAAAGAACAGATGAAGTTTGAGGGAAAAGGAAAAAAGAATAAACAATGTACCTATAATCATGATTAAATGGATTGCTTTGAAAAAGATCAAATTGTGGGTGTATAAATGCTAACTATGAATGCTTGTATTGATAAAGAAAAACATAATGTTGGAAAAAAGCTCAAAAAACCCTTAATAAAAATTGTAAAGAAGTGAAAATCAATATTTAATACTGGTGTAAATTCTTCTATGGCTGTGCTTTGGCAAACCTATGATGAAATTGATAACTTGGTAGGATAAAGGCATACACTCCCTTCTTCCAAGGAGATCATAGTTTTCTTTGCCAAAAATAAAAAACAAATCATATAGTTAATGTAAATTTTGGATTAATACAGGCTATGTATTCGCGGCCATAAGAAAACTCATGCACTACATTATCTTTAATAGTAATGCTATAAAACAGTGAATAATACTATAATATCCTTCATTATGAAACCCTTCCGCTAAATTTAGTTAACATTAGCATGCATCACATATTTTCAAATTTTGAATTTGATATTGAATCTTACGACTCCCAAGTTGATTTAGTTCTCAATTCATAACACAAAGATCTTAGGGGCTGTTTGGTAACTGTTTTTGTCCTGTGTTTTGTGTTTTTGTTTTCAATTTTTGTCAAAAATAAAAACAAAAATATGTTTGGTAACTGTTTTTGGTTTTGTTTTGTTTTCGTTGTATTGGAGACAAAGACAAAAAATTGGGAAAAAAAAAATTTTGTTCCAGAAAACACGCGAAACAGAAACACACGCTAAAAGGGATTAATAAGATCTGGGTTTCGAACAAAAATAGGATTTTTTTCGTGAACCTATTTAAACCCACCTCATTTCTCTCTCCTTTCCATCGTTACATCACTCTCTATTCTCTTCTCTCCATGGCTGCCTCACTCTCTCCATTCTCTCACCAACACCGACAAAATCTCTCCTCTCTCAACGACGGAGATAAGCCCCTTCTCTTTCTCTCTCTTTCTCCCTCTCTCATCTCATCTCCTCGCTCTCTTTGTATATATATACACACAGATCTGTGTATATACACAGATCTGTGCACACATATGCATTGTAACAAACAAATCCCCTCAGTCATCAATACAGATTATTTCCCCCTGATGCATCTAATCCGTTTCCTCGGCCCATAACCCCATCTTGTGTATCCCCCTTTCATGGTAGTAGATTTGGATGATTTGGGCTGACAGCTGGGGCGGCTGTGAAGGTCATATAAGTGGAAGCCTAGTTGTGTCAAGATGGAGAGCATTTTTTGCCTCAAAATCAACCAAGAAAAATCAAGTTAATTCCTTGCCCCTTTCTTAAAAGGGTTTTGTAATTCTAATAAGAATATTGTCATATTCTGGTCCTTGAGATTTAGTTTAATGACTCAAATCAGTCACGTGGAACTCCTAGTCATAGTTTGATGTCAATTTCACATGTTTGAGCTGCAAAATATCCCCTACAGGTGATAATGGAATTTTCCTTATGGCATACATCAGTGTTTGCATCTGCATTGAATGCAGGAATGCTTATGAGCAACTAGTCTTCTGTGACATTTTCCACTCAAAGGACCCTGGTTNTAGGTGATAATGGAATTTTCCTTATGGCATACATCAGTGTTTGCATCTGCATTGAATGCGGGAATGCTTATGAGCAACTAGTCTTCTGTGACATTTTCCACTCAAAGGACCCTGGTTGGAGGGAATGCACTTCATGTGGCAAGGTGAGCTGGTAGTGTGCTTTTACCTCCTCGCCCATGTGTATATCCTTCTTCTAAAGGTGCGCCCAAAAATCTAATGCGATTTTTGTAATGGCAGCCTCTCCATTGTGGATGCATTGCTTCCAACTCTTTGCTTGAGCTACTTGACAGTGGTGGTGTAAATTGCATTAGCTGCACAAAAAGTTCAGGAGTTTGCACTGTAAGATTATTTGACACACATTTTTTCGTTGTCTTTTGGATGTTGAGCACATACCACTTTAGAACTCTTGGGTTGTATGCATTGAATGAGCCTTTCTAGTTCATTTATTTTGTAATTGCTGAATCCAGCTGGCAGATTGCACATACAATGCTCCCTAGTTTGTTTGGAAAACAATTATCATTTCCAGATGGTAAGATTATAACCTGTTTAAGAAAATATTTTTCTTGACTGGGTTCCAATTCCTAGTCAGTAGAGTATGTTATCCCACTATGAATTCTTTTATATACCACATATGATGTGAAATTTGGAAATATTTTTCACTTTTGGCTTAGGATTTTCCCATATTTGACAGTCGTAGTTTCAGTATTTTCCTTCAAATTTTGGGTATCTATGATGGTTCTAAATTTTCACACAGGCCAAAACTGATGAAAAGGCTAAAGGATTAGGCATCACAATGTCAAAAACTGTTGGTGAAAAGGTGTAAATGAGGTTGGTTTGCAAGGAGATGAATTCTGGGAGAAAGGCTGCTGCCATGAAATTTTGGTCTTTGCTATTTGTTGCTGCTGTGTTGAGCTTGCTGGTTTTTTTTTGGATCATTTTAGAATATGAAATTACAATGTATTCTTTTGCCATGGGATAAGGATCTTCTATTCTTTTATTTTAGAAGATCAAGCATCCCTTTGGAAAGAATTGTGTATGTGAATCTTGATGCAACTGAAATCTGTAGTCAAGCATTGGTTTATTGTTGTTCAATCACAATTTCGAAAATCTGGCTGTGCAAGATTGGTGCTTTGTTGAAGGTATTTAATACATGGTTGTAAATCACTTTTCATGAAATAAAGTGTTGATTTGTTTGAAAGCAAAAAATGAGATATTATAAAACATATTTAGAATAAAACTTGAAGTAATTACCAAACATGTTTTCTGTTTTTATTCTCATAATTTGATAGACAAAAATGACTACCAAACATGTATTCTGTTTCAATGTTTACCACAAAACAGAGACAAAAAATTGTCTCTGTTTTTGGTTTTTTGAAGACGCAAAAACAAAAACGTTACCAAACGACCCCTTAATTCATGACACCAATCCAAATATGACATCTTTGCATGTCTGACTTACTCTTTGAGCTTCATCTTCCAAGTTTAGCAGCTGGTATAATATAATTTAGATAAATTACTCAAATTTCGATGCCAGTCATATAATATAAATGTTTCCAGAACATCTTGCAATTAAATGAACTAATCAAACTCATTGCATAAAAGCAAGTACTAGAAGAAAATCAAGAAGTTAGATGATTAATGACGTCTCACCTTAAGTCCAAATGAGAACCATTGGAATCATNGTATAATATAAATGTTTCCAGAACATCTTGCAATTAAATGAACTAATCAAACTCATTGCATAAAAACAAGTACTAGAAGAAAAGCAAGAAGTTAGATGATTAATGACGTCTCACCTTAAGTCCAAATGAGAACCATTGGAATCATGCCACAAGACATCCTTGCCTGATTGAGTTTGTGAAGAACTAGATAAGTTTGGAATGGAGGCTTGTAACCTTTCAGAATCACACTCAAAACTAAGGTTACTGTTGTCATCCTTTTGGCTATCAAGAGCGGGCCCACAGCTAGACATATAGCCATTTTGTTTTGCCTCAGCACTTGGCATAAAGGTTTCTAGGGGGCAGAAAAAGGCAGCAGCAACACTAGTTGCCAGGTCTTTGATTTTAACAATGCGCAGGATACAACATAGTAAATACAGAGAAGTGACAGCACTGATTTTTGTTTCCTGGATACATAAAATTCAAAAGGTTATGAAAAGCAAGTAAACTTAAAGCAGTGGTTTAACAGAAAAGAGTCCGAAGCCCAATACCAAAATTGAAGCAACAAAACATTTCATATGGGAAAAAAATGGAAAAACAGTGAAAGAGTAGAGTAAAGATGTATACATTAACAACTCCTATACTCAGCGATGGAAGAAGCAATGGAAATACCAAAAGCTTCAATATGTTGTCTGTTATTAATCGCCCAATATCAGGAATCCCAGCAGAAATAACATCACTAAAATAGTAAAGATTGTCTTCGATTTCATCAACAGCAGAAAGAATGGAAGAGGTTGATTCGAAGCCGAGGCTCCTGTATCGCAAAACCAAATATCCTTCTCCGTGAGTAAGTAAATAATCTGAAGTGTTATGAGGAAACAACAAATGACAGCTCTTACCCGGAAGCCTGTGAGACCAATTCATTTAGGCCGATGCAATGCTCTCGGAAAAATTTGAGCAAGTTCAAAAAATAATCCGTCTGAGGGGCGTTGGCTATATATTTATTAACACAATCATCTCCAACTGAAAAACAAAGGATATCACAAAACTACAATAAGTCGTACTTCAACACACTTGCGCTAAATGGGAAGGAAGAAAATGAAAAATAAGAGCCAAGATTAGCAACTCACCATGATAAACATTTAACGTCAAAGCACGAACTGCAGTACGAATCATGCCCTCTTCATGAAAAGCAAACCGTATTGCCTCAACATAAAGGGGAAAATCAACTATGTCATCCTAGACAGACAAGTGAAGATAATGAAGAAACAAGATTTTAGGCGCGAGAGAGCGCATACAATATCACCATGTGGTTAAAGGGGAAGGGGACAAGAAAGGAATATTGCATGTGGCATTCTCAGTTGACTAATTAATTCAAGAGGAATGTGCAACTGATAAAGTGAAATTCATCAATGAAGCATTAAAAAAAAAAAAAAAAAAACCCTTTACACCTTGCCTCACCTGTCCAAACTACCAACCTATGATTGATAATTACACTGGCTAACATGCATAGACTAGGTAAAAATCCAAACCACAAAGCAACATATGCCAGTAAATGAGCCACACATGTTTATTTTGGCTAAGAGGATCCTTAAGAACAATAAACATAAGGCACAACCACCAGAAAGTGGATCCACAGCTTGATCGTCTTCACCAATAAGATGGTGCTTGCTAAAAATCAACTTTATCACAAAATTCTATAGTACCTAGCTTGTCAAGTATTCTGAACTCTTTTCCGGAAACACTTTTTTTAGTAAGGAAAGGACACAATAAGCCACCATACCAAAGCCGAAGCGCACCTCCTAGACCTAGTCCTACCCTAGAAAAACCATCAACAAACATAGCTTCCCAAACAAGAATCAAAAGTTCGGGATCTATCAAATTTCTGCCATTGTCTCTTCTCCCAACAAACCAAAATATAATATGCAAAGCAACTCCCTCCATAGCCAACTAGTTGTATTTTCGGCATATATCCAACATATTGGACAGATATCCAAAGTCAATATGAAATACTACCACCTTTTCATTGTCTATCTCTAGTTATAGTTCTTCTCTTACAACTTTGTCATTTCCATGAAGTTAAAAGAGTATTTATGCAAAACAAAAGGGAAGAAGAACTGAAGAAGATAATAAATAGGAGAAGAAGAGAAAGCAGTGGTTTACCAAAAGGCCCATGTCAAGAAAAAAATAAGTTTCCACAACAATCAAGCAAATTCACAATAAAATTCACTGTCCAGGAAATTATAGATTTACAACAAATCTAGTAAAACTAGCAATGCACGACGTGAATTTAAATAATATTATTTTTATAGAAAACCTGAATTATATGTGTAATTAAATTAAATAATAAATTAGGTGCCTAATAATTAATCCGTATATTAATTATTACTAAATATAATTATTCATTTAATCAATAAGTTTTGGAGTAACTAATCTGTCATTTCTTTAGGTATTTCTTCAACTTTTTTAAGGCATTCGCACATCTAGTTATATTATAGAATTATTAATTTTTATTTGTTAAATAGATTGATTAGATCTCTTATAATATTATTATATTATTGCATACAAAAAAATAAAATAAACATATATTTGACCGTGAAATTCAATCTAATAATTATATGTGTATAATAATTTAATATATATAAGACTTTACTTCTTCATATAGATATAGATAATTGTATGTAATTGTACTACTAATAAATAAGTTCAAAAAGAATTTAGAAATCCTTATAAAGGAGTCCAAAACAAGTTAAAACAAATAGGTGTAAAAAAAAGTAGATGAAAGTATATAGGTATGTATAATTGACTTTATCATAATAATTATGAATAAAATAAAAAATCAAAATTTTTTCGCTGCTGTTAACATTTATAAGTAGTATAGATATAGACAAATTACCAAAAACATTCCTAAAAAAAACCAATAAAGTCTCTTATTTGATAAATAATAAAAAAAAAACCCAATAAAGTCTTAATTACAAGACAATATTAAATAAATACACAAAATCCTAATATCAATTCCATGCATATCCAATTTTGTTTTGATACCATCAATTCTCTCCCACGAGGAAAATCTCTTCATCGAAGAGTTGTAATAGCAGAAGCAGTCCAATAAAATGAGGCAGGCTAGCCAAGTACGTCCTCAAACTTGATGGCATCAAACAAGCTCTGTCTCAAAATGAGATAACAACTAGTATAACCGTGGAAGAAAATTATATCTCGAACCTCTCTGTCTTCCCACTCTAGTCCACAGAGAATGACAAAGATGAGAGAAACATATGAACAAGTTGAAGAGAAATAGCAACTCCCTTAGTAGAACCTCCATGCAAAACTCCATTTTTGGAAACTCTATTCAACGTTGCATCATTGGTAACAAGAACATGCGACAATTTCAGAAAAATTACCAGCTCAAAGACATCAGACAGTCTTGGACCTTACTCAATTGGACTGGAGCATGTGGTAGAGGGAAGTCTTCAACCACTTGTTAATTGCCAGCCAAAGTGAAGAAACTAATACCTTCCTTTGGCCTAATTCCAACTATAGCAGCCAATGTGTTTTTACTTCCTGCTAGTGGGATTACCAAAGTTTCTTTTAGCACATCTCCTAATGTTCTTAGTGAAGTTAGCCTACGCATATCTGCTTAAAATTTGGGACCAATCTGTTATTTTTCTAGAAGTTATGGCACAGATTCAGTGATTTAGAGAACTTTTGGGGTAATTAGGCATTTTTGAAAAGATTGGGGATAGATGCAATTTAGGAAAATTCTCGAGCTTTCATGTACTTTCAAAAGTTCAGGAGTAGATCTACAATTATTAGAAAGTTGGGTTGGTTGGTTATGTTCGCCGGGAAGGGCTTTTTTGTTTTCTNGGGAAAATTCTCGAGCTTTCATGTACTTTCAAAAGTTCAGGAGTAGATCTACACTTATTAGAAAGTTGGGTTGGTTGGTTATGTTCGCCGGGAAGGGCTTTTTTGTTTTCTTGGATTGGGTATTGTTGGGTTTGGTTATTTTTTCGATAAGAGACAACATATTATTGACAAAAAAAAAATCCAAGTGTGGACAGGAAGTCCAACACAGGAATGGCCAATAAAAACATAAAAAGAAAAAAGAATCAAAACAACTAGCCGCAAGATGCTTTCCAGCTTGTTCTAATAAAAAATAAAGGAATATCTTGAAAGTCCTTAGACATTGAGCCCACAAAAAGAGAACAAAAAACGAATCATTTTCCAAAACCCCTCAAAATCTTCACATTTATTCTCAAAAATGCTCACATTCCTTTCTTTATAAATCACCCATAATGTAGCAAATAAAGCACTATGCCAAATGGTCTTCCATTTCGTATTTCCCCCCACCCCCACATCATCCAAACATAACATAAATTTCATATCCTTGGAGCAACCCAAGCAAAACCCATATGGTCAAAAAGCTTGTTCCATAATGCTCACGCCAAAGGACAAGGTTAGGTTAAGGCTTTAGGTTAGGTCAAATATGGATATTGGATCAAGGTTTTTAATACCCAGAATCAGGCTATAACAAAATAGGGCCGAGCAATGTTATAACCAGAATTAGAATCACATTTTGTTGTCCTACTTCAGCCTAAAATAATTAGTATAACACCCCAACACCATAACTTTCAAAGGAAACAAAAAGTGGTCCCAAACAACAGTGTTGCTCAACTGTAAGGGGCCCGACAAGGTTGAAAGTGAGTGATTAATAATGCAAACTTCAAAAAGCGACATAAGTTACTGGTGATGGTAAATACAAAATCAATATGATGAGGAGCGATGACGACAGTGACAGCTTTATAGAACAGAGATAATGATGATGAAACGAGACTGCTGTGATTTCGAGGTCTACAACTGGCCTTGCTCCGAACCTCCTGTGATGTGGACAATGAAGTTTAGTTGTACTAAAGATAATTAAAATGATAGATTTTGTTTAAAGGCCTGACATGTTCGTAATAAATTGTAAACGAAGGCTGTTGACAATGAAGGCTTTTGTCTGGCAGTCAAGTTGAAGCAACAGATCGAAGAACAAGAAGCAAATTGAAAACCAGAAAATGAGAGACATAGCAAGAGACAACAATGGGTTGAAGGTTTACTCTTTAGCAATTGGTGCAGAACTGGGACAGAAGAAGAAGAGCTAAAAACAGGACAAGAAGAGAATGAAGAGGTTTACCAACCCGTCGCCAAGATTAGGTCTAGAAAAACACAATTCTCCATTGAGAATAACTAATCAAATTCTCAATAAAATTCACTCTCCCATAAAAAACTAGAGTTACATCAATCTTTATAGGTAAGTCTCCCAATACACGTAAATTATTTTCCCAGCAAAATTAAAGCAAAAACACTCCTAGGTAAATAAAAACTCCCTACCTAAATAATTCAACAAAAAAAATCCTAACAAAGTCGTAATTATGAAATAATGTTAGAATAAATAAATAAAATCCCAATCTTCAATCCCATTCTTGTCCAATTCCTTTCAATTCCCATCACCATCCTTTGCAAGCTTGACTTGATTTGGCAACATGTAGAATAAAAAAATTCTTCTGCAAAATTTTGGACACATGGGCCGTATCCAACACATCTAGTAGTGTGAAATAATTGTCACATCCCAAAAGGTGGCAGAAGTGGATATGGCCCATCAGATGAAGTGTCCATGTTTTGTAGCCCACCCTCCGGCATCAAGGTAGGGCGAACACAAGGCCCCTGCTCATGTAAAAGATTCCCCGAGAAGTCATCCACATCGCCCTGTCCTGTTCATGTTTTTAGGGGTTTTCTTCTTTGGTTTTCTGTGTGGATGCATTGGGAGCTTTTTTCCACCCTAAACCAGCCCAAGATATGCCAAGAACAGAATGGACAGGAAACTCAAAAACTTCAATTAACCTCCTAAACACTTTTAGAACCAAAACAAGCTGAGAAGAGATAGGGGATCACCTAGTCTAAGATCTCTAAAACTGTTAATATGCTACATGTGACACAATAGATAAGCTTGAAAAACAAGCTGATCAAATAACATGTGCTCTTCCCACTTTCTCCAAAACCAATCCTTCCAAAGAAGCAGTTCCGGAACTCCAATTAACATTATTGTAGGCCTTATCAGCAACAAACTTGCCAAAAAAGGAAAAGGAAAAAGACGCTCCTAAGCTTTGAATCTAGTCATCATATGCAATAAGCACTATGTGCAGAATCATGTCTCTGAAGAAGCATATTGAGAACAAGACCCACCCTCGTACAATACCACGGCCTGAAAGAATAATCTAAACGGCAGTTAGCCATCTTGAATAACCTTGTAATCAGCAGTTAGCCGCCAAAACATCCATTATCCATCACTTCCCCTCCATTAGCAGCCACACAATAGCATTTGTAATCAAGCCTATCAAAGAGAACTTCCCCAAAAATTACATGCGGGAAATTCAGAAGTCCTTTCACACCACATTGAGGTAGTCATGGAAGAATGTCATATGTGGTTCATCCAGGCAAAGAGCTCTGTCCCAATATAAACATGTCAACACCTCAACTATTTATTCCTCAAAGGCTCACTAAGAACTTGTATCCTGGATGTTAAGTGGACTGATGCAACACACTACACACTCCTAGTTCTCAAAGTGTCCATCCCTTTCCAAATGCCATCCTAAGTCTCCTCCAACTACCATCGATTGTGAACTAGCATGGAAAGTCAATCATTCTAAAGGCATTTGCAAGTTTGCAAAGAACACAAAAAATATCACTTTGACCCACTTCCTTTAGCCATAAAGTCCACAACTTTCGTCCCCAACAATCTGTTGTAACTCATAGCCTCACAACTTCCTTCATGAGTTGCACTTTCTTACTCATTTCCTACTAAAACCCAAATTTGTAAATCCTTCTTTGTCACCTAAACACCCTAACCCTCCACCTCCAAAACCTTGGTTAGCACATCTATCAAAAATCAATTTTATTGAATATTCAAGAACGCTAACTGTGCCACAGAAATCTAAAGCTTCTGACTAGTACAAGGGCATATTAAAATGCTTAAAAGATATTAACATCTCGCTAAGCCATAAATGCCCCGATTCAGGGTTTGATTATGTTGCAGATTGGACTGATATAGTTGTAACTTATCATCAGTGTGCGTCCATTTGGTGAATTACCATAATGGTTTGACAGTAACAAGTGAATCAGCTGCTATTATGAGAATTAGTTGAGGATATTTTGAGGGAAAAAACATAATCTGCTACAGTAACCAAGAAAAAAACATCCCTGCCAGCTTAAGGCTATAAGCCTCCTACAACTGTTTTGAACAAGCACTACAAAACACTCCAAAATTAGGATTTCAACCTCATACAGTACAGGCCGACTTGAGTTCTACAAACAAACCTCAGCTAATTCTTTTGCCACCTTTTTTTTTTTTATCTTAATTGTTCGGGTTGCAGAAGAAGCTTCCTCTTCCACAGCCTCTTACAAGTTACAATCAAGAAAACAGGTATGTTCCTGAAAGGCCGCAAAAGTATAGTGTTGGCCTTAGAAAAATAACAAACAAAAGATAATCTTTGTTCTACCCATTTTTATAAACCAAAAACCGAGTTTACCTACAAACAGCCAAAGTTTAATTTTTAGTTATTGAAGTCTTTTGTTACAGATGACTGATGTGGCAAAACAGATTAAACTACTTGTTTTGGATTTCTATTGAAAAACCACTTTTAATGTTTATTTCTATTGAAAATATAACCACCTTCCTTCAATGGAATTCTTTGCAAACAAAACTCTCACTGGAAAAACTCGAACTGCTTAGTGTACAGTTATTGTACAAAGTGTGAGATGGAATGAGCATTGAAAATTGGAGTAAACAAAAGTCTGACTAATTTTTCAGATAATAAATGCAATCAACATTCAACATCAATTAAAATGTCCAAGTATAAAATCAAAGTTTTAATGAAATATTGGTAGGAACAGTAAAGAGGGAGCATAATGACATGAAGCAAACTATAAATTCAAAGAGAAAAACCTTACATTTCGAGTTTTAACGAGCACAGAAATCGTATTCTTGTTCAGCTTTCCGCTTATTGCTCTTTCCAAAACCAAAGACAAATGTGAACAGAACACCACAGTCAGAAAAAAAGAGGTGAGTACTGATTGCAGAAAAGAAAAATAAACTCTTTGGCAATTATTAAGTAAATCAAAGAACACTAAAAAGTGGGGTTATTAACAACAAACCTCAAAAAGGATATGTAGAAAGACAATAGCTCTTCATTGCGGAAGTCAAAGGAATAAGTTATAAAATAATTAATATGTTCATTACTGAACATGTAATCTGTGAAATTGCCAAAAGAGAATTTATATCAAACAAGCCAATCAGACAAAATTTAATGCTCAAAAAGGGCGTTCTTGTTATAAACAACATACATATAGAGTGTTCACTTTTTAGGTTTTGGATCATAATGCTCATTGTCTGCAATAACTGAAGTGAAACAATACTAGTTCTACTAATTTTCAGTATACGCACAAACTCCCCCATGACCTGTTTCTCCATAAAAAACCTGCAGAAAAGCCATAATGCTGTAAAATTGTTTAATTAAATGTGCATATGTATCAAAGAACAAAAGGACTTGAAAAACCGTATGAAAAAAATAAATGGAAAATAGAAGAAACTAAATTTGCATATAAGAACAAAAAAGGTTGAGAAGCCGCACTCGAAAAAGGCTGTATCATGTTGGTCACCATATGTTATCAATTCTGCTATTGATCTCAGTGCCTCAATCACAAAATCCTTCATGATATAACACAAAGTAGAAAAATTGAACACACTATAAACCAATTGCATTTAATACATCAAGAAGAAGAAGAAGGACGAGGAGGAAGAGGAAGAGGAGGAGAAGAATAAGATATATGTTACCTTGTTAACATCNGATTAACCCTAAATTTTAACATTTTTCCGGAAGGATTTTAATACCGGGTCGGATCTTATCCCGGGTAATCAATGGTAAAAGGTTAAGACTCTAAATCACAGCCTATGCCCAACCCAAATAGGGCTATCGAACTGTGGACTGGTTAATTGCTAGTGAATAGGCTAGGTTGGCTCGATCCAAGCTAAAATTGGCCCACGGCCTGCTCAAAAGGTTACTTACCAATGCGGACTTTTAGCAACCCAGCGCACCAATCGCGCTTATCATTTTTCTGATTTAAGTAATTAAGTGACAAATATAAGGAGTCTAGGTGTTAACAAGATTTCTATTTTTAAGGGTATAAATTAAGATTTTTGAACTTGAGGATAAAAATTAAAATTCACACGATTTTCAGGTGTAATTTGTGATTAACCCTAAATTTTAACATTTTTCCGGAAGGATTTTAATACCGGGTCGGATCTTATCCCGGGTAATCAATGGTAAAAGGTTAAGACTCTAAATCACAGCCTATGCCCAACCCAAATAGGGCTATCGAACTGTGGACTGGTTAATTGCTAGTGAATAGGCTAGGTTGGCTCGATCCAAGCTAAAATTGGCCCACGGCCTGCTCAAAAGGTTACTTACCAATGCGGACTTTTAGCAACCCAGCGCACCAATCGCGCTTATCATTTTTCTGATTTAAGTAATTAAGTGACAAATATAAGGAGTCTAGGTGTTAACAAGATTTCTATTTTTAAGGGTATAAATTAAGATTTTTGAACTTGAGGATAAAAATTAAAATTCACACGATTTTCAGGTGTAATTTGTGATTAACCCTAAATTTTAACATTTTTCCGGAAGGATTTTAATACCGGGTCGGATCTTATCCCGGGTAATCAATGGTAAAAGGTTAAGACTCTAAATCACAGCCTATGCCCAACCCAAATAGGGCTATCGAACTGTGGACTGGTTAATTGCTAGTGAATAGGCTAGGTTGGCTCGATCCAAGCTAAAATTGGCCCACGGCCTGCTCAAAAGGTTACTTACCAATGCGGACTTTTAGCAACCCAGCGCACCAATCGCGCTTATCATTTTTCTGATTTAAGTAATTAAGTGACAAATATAAGGAGTCTAGGTGTTAACAAGATTTCTATTTTTAAGGGTATAAATTAAGATTTTTGAACTTGAGGATAAAAATTAAAATTCACACGATTTTCAGGTGTAATTTGTGATTAACCCTAAATTTTAACATTTTTCCGGAAGGATTTTAATACCGGGTCGGATCTTATCCCGGGTAATCAATGGTAAAAGGTTAAGACTCTAAATCACAGCCTATGCCCAACCCAAATAGGGCTATCGAACTGTGGACTGGTTAATTGCTAGTGAATAGGCTAGGTTGGCTCGATCCAAGCTAAAATTGGCCCACGGCCTGCTCAAAAGGTTACTTACCAATGCGGACTTTTAGCAACCCAGCGCACCAATCGCGCTTATCATTTTTCTGATTTAAGTAATTAAGTGACAAATATAAGGAGTCTAGGTGTTAACAAGATTTCTATTTTTAAGGGTATAAATTAAGATTTTTGAACTTGAGGATAAAAATTAAAATTCACACGATTTTCAGGTGTAATTTGTGATTAACCCTAAATTTTAACATTTTTCCGGAAGGATTTTAATACCGGGTCGGATCTTATCCCGGGTAATCAATGGTAAAAGGTTAAGACTCTAAATCACAGCCTATGCCCAACCCAAATAGGGCTATCGAACTGTGGACTGGTTAATTGCTAGTGAATAGGCTAGGTTGGCTCGATCCAAGCTAAAATTGGCCCACGGCCTGCTCAAAAGGTTACTTACCAATGCGGACTTTTAGCAACCCAGCGCACCAATCGCGCTTATCATTTTTCTGATTTAAGTAATTAAGTGACAAATATAAGGAGTCTAGGTGTTAACAAGATTTCTATTTTTAAGGGTATAAATTAAGATTTTTGAACTTGAGGATAAAAATTAAAATTCACACGATTTTCAGGTGTAATTTGTGATTAACCCTAAATTTTAACATTTTTCCGGAAGGATTTTAATACCGGGTCGGATCTTATCCCGGGTAATCAATGGTAAAAGGTTAAGACTCTAAATCACAGCCTATGCCCAACCCAAATAGGGCTATCGAACTGTGGACTGGTTAATTGCTAGTGAATAGGCTAGGTTGGCTCGATCCAAGCTAAAATTGGCCCACGGCCTGCTCAAAAGGTTACTTACCAATGCGGACTTTTAGCAACCCAGCGCACCAATCGCGCTTATCATTTTTCTGATTTAAGTAATTAAGTGACAAATATAAGGAGTCTAGGTGTTAACAAGATTTCTATTTTTAAGGGTATAAATTAAGATTTTTGAACTTGAGGATAAAAATTAAAATTCACACGATTTTCAGGTGTAATTTGTGATTAACCCTAAATTTTAACATTTTTCCGGAAGGATTTTAATACCGGGTCGGATCTTATCCCGGGTAATCAATGGTAAAAGGTTAAGACTCTAAATCACAGCCTATGCCCAACCCAAATAGGGCTATCGAACTGTGGACTGGTTAATTGCTAGTGAATAGGCTAGGTTGGCTCGATCCAAGCTAAAATTGGCCCACGGCCTGCTCAAAAGGTTACTTACCAATGCGGACTTTTAGCAACCCAGCGCACCAATCGCGCTTATCATTTTTCTGATTTAAGTAATTAAGTGACAAATATAAGGAGTCTAGGTGTTAACAAGATTTCTATTTTTAAGGGTATAAATTAAGATTTTTGAACTTGAGGATAAAAATTAAAATTCACACGATTTTCAGGTGTAATTTGTGATTAACCCTAAATTTTAACATTTTTCCGGAAGGATTTTAATACCGGGTCGGATCTTATCCCGGGTAATCAATGGTAAAAGGTTAAGACTCTAAATCACAGCCTATGCCCAACCCAAATAGGGCTATCGAACTGTGGACTGGTTAATTGCTAGTGAATAGGCTAGGTTGGCTCGATCCAAGCTAAAATTGGCCCACGGCCTGCTCAAAAGGTTACTTACCAATGCGGACTTTTAGCAACCCAGCGCACCAATCGCGCTTATCATTTTTCTGATTTAAGTAATTAAGTGACAAATATAAGGAGTCTAGGTGTTAACAAGATTTCTATTTTTAAGGGTATAAATTAAGATTTTTGAACTTGAGGATAAAAATTAAAATTCACACGATTTTCAGGTGTAATTTGTGATTAACCCTAAATTTTAACATTTTTCCGGAAGGATTTTAATACCGGGTCGGATCTTATCCCGGGTAATCAATGGTAAAAGGTTAAGACTCTAAATCACAGCCTATGCCCAACCCAAATAGGGCTATCGAACTGTGGACTGGTTAATTGCTAGTGAATAGGCTAGGTTGGCTCGATCCAAGCTAAAATTGGCCCACGGCCTGCTCAAAAGGTTACTTACCAATGTGGACCTTTAGCAACCCAGCGCACCAATCGCGCTTATCATTTTTCTTTTATTTTTTACTATAAAATCATTATTGTTAATATAATATCCAGGCAATAGAGGTTGATCCGATTGTCTTATCTTTAGCTTGATCACAAAATTGTCAACACCGGCAATTCAAATCCATACTTCTTTCTCTCATTCTTTATTTTACATTTTTAGGCTTTCTCAAGGTTATAAATACATTAAAATATGCTTAAATATATAAACATTAGAAATCCTATAAACACGTGCAAAATCCGATATTTTTGCACTATTATAATTAGACCACTGAAACTTTTTCTCCTGAAAAATAATTTTAATTTTCAACCCTCAAAGTTAAAAAAATCTCACATTTGCACACATGTGTCATTATATAGTAACAATATGATCCAAGAACTAACCAATAGTGAGAATTAGTAATTAGTTTGTCACGATCTACAAAGGCAGCTAATCAACAAATAGATCAACCTATACGATTTTTTATGCAAAATAGATTTTTTTTTGCTTGTAATTGAATTTTTTTTTATTATAACACAATAAATACATTTAAATCATTCTATCAAGCATCTTTGNACCCTCCGGCATCAAGGTAGGGCGAACACAAGGCCCCTGCTCATGTAAAAGATTCCCCGAGAAGTCATCCACATCGCCCTGTCCTGTTCATGTTTTTAGGGGTTTTCTTCTTTGGTTTTCTGTGTGGATGCATTGGGAGCTTTTTTCCANTGTACGCTTCTTAACATAACCGGCCTATTTTTGCCATTCATGAAGTTCAGAAACTAGTCATAGGAAACACATTTGATGAAATTAGTGTAATAATGTTATCAGTCTAAGATCAAAAAATTGGTGAGGATCTCAGTTAACAGTAGGAGTGTTAACCATACCTTACGGTTATAAATTATGGTATTTCATCTTCTTACTCGATATTTTGCGAAAGAATTTTTTTTTATCTATGCTATCCGATTAAGTGTATTATTCTTACCCGAATTTCATCAAAAACAATCGGGTAGGAAATCAGGTGAGTACATATTTTTTAATTATTAATTTTTGAATTATTTTAACGATTAAATTAAATAACCTACATCAATTAACTAACACAATAAACTAATGTACTAAAAAAAACACAATGAATTCAATAATACATAAACAATTATAATAAAACATAACAAGAAAGTTATAAACATCAATACATCATATATAAAAAAGCCTTAAATATCAATAAAATATTAGAGTTTCTAGATTATTGGATTTTAACTTTTAGAAATTAACACACACACACACACACACATATATAGGGTAGGGTAGGAATACGAAAATTTTGTAGGTATTCTGTATTCTTACTCGATTTTTTGTGAAATACCAAAAGATCTTTCATTGGTCTATCCGATTCTTTCAAGTAACTGATCCGTAAGATCAAGTATGGTAAGATAAAATAAGGGAAGATAGGATCGAATAGAAA